CCCTCACTTATTATATTACGAAAGCAACCGATATTGAAGTAATTCTTTCGCAAAATTCACACTAAGATTTGAGTATACTCACACTATAACTAACGAAATGAGGTGGAGGTGTTGGCAGTGTGCACTCATTCAACTGCTCAATGAGTTTCATTCGCAAGTCACGGTGCATGTACTTCAGAGAGCACAATTCCTTCAATGTATCTACGCACAGTTGTTTCACCTAAATTGTTAACGACGGATGATTTGCAAAATCGAGTGAGTATAAACATCAGTGAATTAACAATTATAGATTGAAGAAAAACTTGATGATGATAACAAAGAGTCGTACGTCTCAGCAACAACTCACCTCTGCTCGTTCGTGGAAGCACAATCTAAACAGCATGTCAATAAGTTCTCCACGCTGTCGGTTTCGCGTCAGTAAAAGTTCACGAAGTGTGGTCATGCCAAATGCACAATAGACCTGAGATAGAATAAGTATGAGAATCTCGGTTATTATAATAGAAAGATTTTTATCTTTTATGCCAAGAGAAGAGTACAAAAAAGATTACCTCATCCAGACAAGCCTTCTCCAAAATTTTGAGTGCATTTGTCGTTACAAGAGGTGAATCTAACAAAAGCTTGTGAAACAGCCTAAGCAGTGCAAAAAGTGGTTGAAAGAACTAACAGAAACCACGTTGAGTCATGGAAATACTTACGCCTCTTTGTGTTGACCTTTATCCATAAGTTTTTGCAAAAGACTGCATAGAGTTGTATCAAACTTCTCAAAGAGCTCACTTTTGGGTGCTCGGCCAAAGTTAGAGATGTAATCGTGATTGAAACATACAGTGAATCTGGAAGATAATTTAACGTGAGAGTCGGCAACCCACTTAGGATCATGTCTTCAAAACTCACCCCTGATACTGCGAGTACAGCTCAGTTACCCACAGAAGAGCAAGGTCAGTGCGGTAACGATGTTGAGACACATCAACAATAAACTCGATGAGTTCATCATAGAGCTTTGGTGGCAGCGGATGGAATCGGGTGGCTATTCGAACAAGCACGACATGATGCATTGACATTGTGCCTCCTTGTCGAGCTCGTCCTAAATTTGATTATAGCTTAAA